ATTGACAGAGGAACCATGCAGTGGCAACCCACAGGCGCGCTGTCGGCTTCTGCCTGCTTCTCTGACTCTGGGCGGCTGGCAAAGACCCAGCAATCATGCCCAGCGAGGCAGCACCAAACCTGAACTGTCTGCACAGGATGGCCAAAATGGCAGCACATGGCAGGCACACTTTCATGAAAATTCTTCCTCAGGTGGAAACGGTCCCACCACGCTCGCTGTGGCACCGATAGCAACGCCTCGGGCAAGGCAGCAAGGGGTCGACAAAGCAGTGCCAAAGGACCACTTCAATCCCACCTCCTGCCAAAGTAGCATTCTGTACCGTCTGCGGGTCAAGCCGGCCATCCTGTCTGCTGAAACCAACTTGCCGGACATGCGAGCTCACCTCAGGCCTGAAGCAGCTGTGACAAGCCGAAGGTCATGACAGTCGAGGACAGGAGTGCCAGCACAGTGTTCAGGAGCGCCTCATAACACAAAGCCCTCAATGCGACCGCACAGCGACTCTGTATACTTCTCGATCCTGGAGTTGCGCCGCTCTCGTGGCTTGGCCAGCAGCGACGAAGCTCGGCCATGACCTCGCATGGAACGCACATGCTTGCCTGTTGGGCAACGTCATGAGACACGCAATGCCAAGTTAGGCCAAGCATCATCCAAAGAAAGACTGTGCCGATCAAGGCAAGGATGTCCGACCTGACGAAACCAGTCATTCCACATTCCACATTCTTAGCTTCCTCTCTTTGCAGGCGCCCTGGCTGGTAGGAGCTGCTCCTCAGCTTCTCCTGCGGCAAGGCGAGTTCTGCCCGTTTGGGCCGGCCTTGCCACGTGCGCCTCCCGCCTCCCGCTCTTCCTTGCTCGGCTCGGTCCTTTCCGGCCGGTCCGAGGCTCGAAGCAGCGGCAAGGCCGAAGTAAGCACCAAAGACCTCGGCATGCATCCTCTCAGGTAGGTCCGGCAGCGACACACTAAGCCAAGTGGCATGCAAGAAGGTCCCACCTCCATCGTGGACGAGAGGCCTTGCTTCCTTATCGACAAACGCTTCAAGCCGACCCCATCGATACTTCTGCGATCCAAGGGTCACCCTGTCTCAGCAAGCAGACCTCAGGGACGCTCGTGAGGCTCTGTACCGCAACCGTGCGAACTCAAACTGGCCTTGTGAACGGTGAAGCACGGCAGCTCGATCCTCAGTCATGATCTGATCAGTCAAGACACGCACCGGAGGCATCAACCACATAATTTACAGCCCCCTGCACTGTGGCTCGAAACATCCGAGCCCACTGCATCACCAAGAGAATGATCTGCAGCGGAGAAACCCTGCCTCGCTTCATGCACACTTTCGACAAGGCGACCGTGGTTCCGCTCCAAGTCTGTACGGAGATTCGACGAAGAAAAGCAAACTGCATAGAGGCTCCACTCAGCCCCGGGCCGATCAGCGCTCCGAAGGACACCAAGACCTCGCACTTGGACCCGCTTTGGCCACTTGACTGGTTCCCGGCCTAGCAGGTCCTAGCAGCCTACCAGTTTCCCCGGCTTGTTCCCTTGCGGTCTGAGATGTGCTTCCCAGGCGCAGGGACCACGTCAATGTTGGCGCGCAGCAGCGCTGGCAAATCAATGGTAAAATCCGCCTTGCAAGGTGCCATGACCCTCACTATCACCCTCAAACCCTATCATTGCGTATGACGAGGAAAGAGAATAATTCGAGAGCCGGTTCGGTTCACCTTGTGGAAAGCCGGCCAAAGGGCACCCCTCCCTCCCTCTCCCTCCAGCGCATTCGCCCGCTCTCTGTCTCTCTCTCTCTCTCTCTCTCCCTCCTGGGCTTGGCGGTCGATCAAGACCCCCGGGCATCAAGCCCACCCGCCGCATGCGTTATGCGAGGAAAGGGGTGTGAAGAACGAGTGTAATGCATCCAAGCTCTCATGCCATAAAGTATGCGATAGAGGGTTAAGATGCATGTATACTCTCAAAGACATTCTCCATCTGCCAAAGATGCTGTTGTAGTGAAGGAAGCTAAAGTAGTATAGTGAAGATGGCAAGCATACGGAAGCGAAAGTGTTAGAACAGAATCATGAGGATCCCCCGGTTTGAGGGAATCCAAGGCAAGGGTTAACATGTTTGCAACAACTCCTTCGTCATCAGGATTGTTGTCGTATCAGCTTAAGTCCTGTACAATTCAATTTCCCCCGATCCTTACAGAATGCGCTCTCCCTCTCTCTCTGTCGCTTTCGTGCGCTTGTCCCTCTCGCTGTCCGTGTAGTTCGCTCTCTTGTTTCGGTCCGTGTGTGTGCATAGAGGTCTGAATGGACGCGAGCGGCAAAAGACTGACCCAGCCCCTGAAAAGAAATGCTACAAGCACCGCATTAAAGCACACAGAACTCTCAGCAGCTGTGTGCAAAGAAGCGTGATGAAGTGTGCGCAAGCATCGACACCGGCACTAACAAAATGTCGTGGCCGTGGCTCCGAAATCTAATGAATCTGCTAGGACCGCATGGGCTTCCTTGAATAAGGCCGACGGCCTGTCGCAAGCAAGACTCGAGGATCAGTGCCCATTGGATCCCCACACCGGAGATCAGCAGCCTGTCACGACATTGCGACCACCGGCCGACACACTGGGTGTTGGGTGGCTACTCTGACTCCCGAATCCACACGATGTTGTGGCTTATCCTGGCTTACCCTGCTTTCCGTGTATACATTCGTAACCGGTCTTTATGTTTTGAACTCCTAGACTCGAACTCTATCTTCAGCTTGGCAGCGTGAAGCCGACGGCGCCGAGGCCGTAGGCCTCGCAATGCAGTTTACCATTGAACGCTGCGGTATAAAGCAGGGACTTCTGCAGCCGGCACCAGCTAGGAGTTGAAGACCATTCAAAGTAGCGCAAGGGCGATGCCACGCCTTCAGAAAGGTTTTCAGGTAGCCAAAGCCCACGAAGATCATCAGGGCAACGCCTGAAATGCAAGGACAGGAGGTTCCGCTCTTGCGGGGAGAAGCTTGGTGCGGCCGTTGGCCGTGAACTTTACGTCTCCACTGGTCATATGTAGTCACCCCCCAAACGTCGTACTTGGAGGTGGTCTGCTGCCACGAGGCCCAGGTGCAGGGATGTATCTGTACCCAATGCAGCATCGGCATCTTCTCGCAGCTTGCACTTGTGGAAAGCTGCGATGAAAGCCTTGGGCCGGGGAAAGCTGAGATGTCAACCTAAGGCTCGAACAAGAGAAAGAGCTTCCGAAGAGATCCTGCGAAGCGAACTGAAAGATTGAAGCCCAACTCCAGGCAACACCTTGGAGAGTCAGAGACATGGCAGCATATTGGCCTCTCTTGCTAACAAGCAGCTAATTGCACCACTGCGGTCCTCAGATGCAGCAAAACACACTCGACCTACCATGAACAACGCCTTCATTCTCGTCGGCCCCGGCCGAAGCGGTCAGGGATTCTCTCTGTCCCCTGCTTCGCCACACAAAACCGAAACTGCCTCAGTCAGCGACCAGGCCGAGGCCGACAACGCGAAGCATTTAAAATTGTCGCTATTGTCGCACTCGTCATCCTCACTTGAGCACATTTGCTGTCGGTGGGACCAGCATAAACTTGGTCGAGATGGAAAAACGTCCATTGCGGTCTCAAACGTTGACTTCCCGTCACTTGCATGCAAGCTTCAACACGCCGAAGCTCTTCCCCGGCTGCGGGGCAAACAGCTCCTGACAGGCAAACTCGCAACAGCAAAGCGAGGTGCACAGAAAATGGCAGGCACGAATGCTGTTGCGTTTCCTCAATTTTTGCTGCTCGCCGTCAGACTGGACCTACAGCTACAACATGCAGGCATTCCACGTGGAAATTTCAGAAGCTGCTTTAAGAAATGTCGTTGTTGTGAAGGCTAGTTCGGAAACTGCCGAAGTCCATGAAGCTCCTCTGCTGTTTGCGAGGGTCGCCTTGATGGTCGAACAGATGGCCAGTCTTGTGTCTACCAAACCTAAGACTACTCAAGGCTAGTTGAGACTACAGTACTAGTAGCACTGATTGCCAGTGCCAGAAAACGAAAGCTTTACGACTTTACGGCATTCCAAACGAACTCGGCGCCGTTGTCTGCAGGGCAATCGAAATCTGTCGAGCGACGGCGCCGCTGTTGGGGACTCGGTCTCGTACCTCAACTCTGGTACCCAGTGTGATTGCGAAGGCTGCAAAGCTCATCTCTTTCGTGGTACATGTGGTACGTGCATGGTCAACTGTAGACAGTGCCATGATGCCGTAAGACTTCGCGCTGTGTCGCCATGAAAGCACCTCGGTTTGGAGTGGTTGTTACATGATTACACGGCTTGCCTGTCCCTGCACGTATGCGGACCCCACTCCTTTTACTTCTAGCTGTCCCATGACACGAACTGCACGTCGTCGTGAGTTGCACCAGGCATGCGTAACAAGGTGCTCTCCCGAGCCGCAACTCACATCGGGCGGCTCCATGGACGAAGCTGCACGAAGCGAGGCATCTCGATAGGAAGAGTCGACGGAAGAGTTGCAAGTTATCCGAAGTGATTGTAACTTGAGCATCAAGATCTGCTTGTGCCTGCAATGATGTTCTTGTCATCATGTCAGCCTTGAGCCGGTAAGAGGCGCCTTAAACTGCTCACTATCCGGCCTCTGCGTTCCACTTGGTGCACGAGTGCGGCATGAGGTTGCATTTTCGGTGTGCAGGGCGGCCCGGGCGGGTGCGTGTGTGTGTGTGTGTGTGTGTCCCCCTGTTCCCAAGGGCTGCGCTTGAGAAGTGCAGAAGTGTAGTGCGATGCTTCCAGGAACCTGACTTTGAGTGGGTGTGGGTGTGCGTGCGGGTGTAGGTGCGGGTGTGTGTGCGGGTGTGAAGATGAGGAAGAGGATGTGGAAGATGTCTAGGCAACGATTGTAGGAATCGCGCTAATCCATGTTTGACTTCGGTCATTCGAGGATCAAATCAAGTGTGGGTGTGTGTTTGTGTGCGTGCGTAGGTGTAAGTGTGCGTCACACAAGAAAGCAGGCGGCAGGGCAGCGCCTGAAAGACAAGGTCTGGGGACACTCCATGCCTGATCGTCGAAGTTCTGTATATGACATAAAATGTCATAGAGTATCTGACTGCTACGTCGTCGTTGTTGCGACAAGGCAGCCCTAGCTGGATCCTGCTCCTGTAAAATTTGTGCAACAACTTACCTGATCTATCCGAGTTCAAACGCAGCATGTGATGGGACACGGCAAACTGCACTGACTCGCACAATGAATGTTGCGCTCAGGCATAGGCAAATAATTCAATGCCAGTAAACCTTGGCTGTTACGGGCAGCCACGACCAACAGAACGGTAGCTCCGGTGCGCCCAAAGGAACACCGAGTGGCGATTCTGTGAAGGGTTTTTGGACGTCGGGGACAGCTCGATGCAGCGCTCGTACATGCGCAAAGCCTGTCCAAAGTCCAAACTTGAGGGGGGGATTCACTTCAAGAAATGGCAGTGCTATTTAAGGTTCTTTCAAACTCCATTAAGTAACCAACTGGAACTTTCACACACTTCGTGTCTCGACACGCAGACCAACACCACAAGCCTGAGGGCATAAATTGTGCATGGCTGCGCTGTCAGGCTGCCAGGCCTGTGCTAGGTCTCCATGGTCCCAGAAAAGCCAGCCCAAGTTGTTGTATGCTTCGGCCTCGGATGCAGCCCGACTGCAAAACATCTCTGTGCGGGCAATGGCTGAAAAGTGGGTCCAAGATTTCGGCGTAGTTGGGAGCCACTGCGACCGCCCTTGACAGGTACTCAAGCGCCTGCACAAACCATGCCCCTTTCATGGGGCTTCCACAAGTGGCACTTCTGGCATCAGGGCAGAACTGCAGCAGTCATGATCTGATGTAGCAAGAGTGTGCAGACGTCCGAAAACCAGACAGCACGAGGAGTCGCACGTTGCCTCAGTCAGCCTTCCCGACGTGGTGTAAGCCACACCTGAGCACAAATCCGGACAGGAGCGGGACGGTGCTGTGCTTCTACACGCCGCTGAGGACCAGGCCTAGATTGTTCAAAGTCTGTGCAAATCGCGGGTTGCACTGAATGGCCATGTGGTAATACTTTAGGGCCTGTGCCGAGCATGAAAATGTGGCAACCATCTCACCCCAGTGTCCTGCCCTAGGCCCCGGGCCTTGTCGAGGTTCTCCTGTTCCTTGAAGATGACGCCCATGTTGTTGTAAGCCTGCAGGGATGCCACTGCCCGAAGGCCCGGAGACTCAAACACGAGAACACTAACAAGCTGACGCTTCGCGGGGCCACGTATTGCTTTTCAATTTCCTATATTATCTTATATTAAACTTATCTTTCTTATTGCTCCTGGAATGGACCTAAATTGTGTCATTATTTGGATGGCGCCTCGTTTGGACAAGAAAACCAATGCCGCTCAGAATACAGTGTTTCAACTTCTCAATGACAAAGCCATGACATGTTGGACATGTTGCCACCGCAGGCCACATGTAAGGGAAGGTGGAAGGCTCGTCAAAACATGGTTTTGAACTTTCAATGGGCCTCTGGGCTGGCTTCAGCCTTGGAGGGGTCTACGCATTGAAGGAGGTTCCTCAAGAGCCGCTTCAGCTTTTTGTGGGCTTATCCCGAGTCGACCTTCTTCAGGGCCTATCATGACCTTCTCCGGGCTGTGGGTGAAATAAACAATGAGGAAGTCAAGCTTGATTCAGGCACATCCCTGCTGAGGATGGGCGATGCATCACAAACGAGCTCCGCCGTTCGCTTTCGCTAGGAGTCACGGTGCCACGCCCCCACGCCGCGCCGCGCCGCTTCGCCGCGCCTCAGCGCAGCGTGGATCGAAGTGCACCGTGAGCTGGTAGTTGATAAGAGCCTCCCAGACGCTCCCCGCTCTACATGTCTCGGCTCTCCAAGCTGCACCTTGTCGTACTTGTGCATCTCTGCGTAGGACACGCCCAAATTGTAATATGCCTTTCCAGACAGCGCAAAAGCATGCAGTCAGCGGCCACGTTTGCAACGTGAATACAATTGATGTCACACACTCTCTTGAATCGCTGCAGCCACGCTGCATTCGCATTGGTTGGGCAATGAACCAGCGCCTCGGCAGGCTGCACACACCAGTCGGGGTGTCATGAAATCGATTCACTGCAGTGCTCGAAGGTCGAAGGAACGGCAAGAAGGAATGCGGACTCCACAATCCGAACTCAAGACAATAAGCAGTCAGAAAGCTCCACAAAGCTGCTTCAGCCCTTTTCTGCGTGCCTGCCTCAGCTCTAGTCAGCTGCTTAGGTTCAGGCTTCTGTGTAGCATCTGATGGCACCCTTTGGGTCCGACCTCAAAAACGATCTTAGCTGCAGCTGCACACAATCTAGATCAGAAGGTCCAAGATTGCACTACACTAGATCTTGCACAGACATGCAAGCAAATATTGCAATCCACATGACTTAAGCGACAGATGCCGTGCACTCTGTCTGCTGTGGCACTGCACCCTTCAGCATAAGGTCTGAGCGCTTTCAGATGTAGCCCGTGGTTGATCAAACAAACTGCCAAATTCATCGGAGTTGTCCTAGGCGGAGCACACGTTCCGGCACCCCTTCACACCGACCAAAGTTACAGCCAGCTAGTATTGCTGGGCTTGGTGCGCTCGCTGCCCAAGGCCCGCACTCACAGTTCGGGTTCGTTCTCAGCGCAGCACGATACCAATCCGCAGCAGCCTGAGACGTCGAACCAAATCCCAGTCGGCTGATGCAACGAGGCAGCAGATGACAGAAATGGTCGCCTGGTAATTCCCTTGCTGTCTGCAGACTGCGCCAATATTGTTCATGGCCTGTCGGCTTGCATGGCTTGCCAGCGCGGCAATTGCAAGCCGAAGATCTACAGCGGCCTCTGTGGATCGCTGATCCAACTTGTAGGCCTGCAAGCGTTTCGCTCTCCTCAGCGCCTCCACGAACTTCGAAGCGCGCCTTCTCCGAATGCTCCAAAGCTCTTGCGTAGTCACCAGCCTTGGAAAAGCGCTAGAACTGACCTAAGGCGCGCTATTCTCCGCTGTTTCTGTGGTCTCGGCTGCCAAGTACAAGGTGCCGAGGCTGAGATGGCCCTGGAAGTTCTCGGGGTCCAAACTTAGTTCGCGAGAGCGCAAGGCCGTGAGGCGTGTCGAGACTTCATGATGCCCTGCTGGCAGGCTGAAAAGCGCGCCTGAGTACCTCGAAACACTTCTCTGCAGCACCACGGGAATCGCCCGAAGCCTGCCACAGCATGCTGGCTGCATGCTTGCTGCATCAGCTCTGGAAAATTATGAGTCATTGTCCCAGTCAGCCTTCAGTCTTGCAGCCATGTCCAGCAAAGCTGACACCTTGCAAAGTCTTAGCAATCCCTGTGCACTTCAAGTCTGCCGGCTTCAACACAAGTTTCTGCCTCAGAATCTATGCATTTGCAGACTGGCAGACAAGACAGGCATCATGTTTCTTCGGCACTGTATCACAAACTACGAGAGGTGGACCAGGGTGAAGGCAAGTGCTGACCATAGTTCGCATCAAAACTTGAGCCGACTGTGACAGATTCGTTTACTGCTGAACGGCATTCACCAAAATGTGGGATGAGCTGGGTCGTACAGTGTTCTGTAAACAACGAGCATCCACTTTCGGATGAGTCGGTGCCTGGGTAGTGCCCTTCGGCAGCACCTGGTTCGCATGTGCTTCTGAAAGAACACGCTGACATCAGATCTTCACTGGGCAGCAACATCAAATCCTGTATCAGCGAGGGTGGCCTGGCCATAGTTCAGGTACATCTGGCCTTCCGCAACCAGAACCCACGCAGGCTACTGCCGACTGTCACCCCAGTCTCCTATGACGAGAGAAACCAGCACGACTGGAACGAATGAGCCTTGAAAGACTCGCAAAAATGCACTGCTCGCGACTCGCGACTCTTCCAGGTCTCTGTGCCGGACTGACCAAGAACCCTCCCGGCCCTCCAACGAGTTAGGCAGCGCTCAGCAGGCACAAGGCATACTACGAAGACAACCCGCCTCGTGTACGACAACACAAATTCTAGCGTAGCACACGTTCTTTGACAAGACACAGTGCGATGGTATTTTGCTTGCAGTGATCCGCCCGACATGTTGAATTTGAGGGCAGCCTGCCTGTGGCCGACATGTTCTGCATGGCCTGTCATGCTGCGATCGCGCCGATCGCTTGCAAAAGAAAGAAGCAGAAGCTTGAAGGCAGCGTTGACTGCACTGATCCGAGGCTTCCGCGACCGGGCCGGCTCTTGCCCTGTCCCGTCCCTCCTACTGGCTGAGCCCGAGAACCGCAGCGCCGCACATGCACTTTCTTCCGCCCTCTTCAACGGATATGTCCCTGCATGAAAAGAGCTTTCGGCTGGATCCACGTCATAGCCCTAACCTGTGGGTCGTCCCTCACCGTAGTTAGCAACGAGTTTTGCTCGCAGGCACAATTCGTCATCAGGCAACAGCCGTCAAGAGCATGCAGCGAATTTGCAGGATCTTGCGGGCAATTGACATGAAGAATTCGGACAAGCCAGAATACTGAACGCGCTTGCAAGGCCCCTGGCAGCAGCAGGCTTTCCGCATGTACCTCAACGCCAGCCATCGCCAGCCAAGGACAACCAACAAGAGCACGGACACACGGGGCGATGGACCTCAACATGGGCCCTCCTCGGCCAGTCTGCCACTGGGCCGTTGGCGGACGAGTACATGGAAGATCCACAAGATCCAATGTACACGGCGGCCCCAACTAAATCACAATCTTGAAACGCGGGACGCTGCAGCCAGTGAGCTGAGGTGACGACAGCGGCGGCTAGAAGCCAGAGAACGTTCGGAGTCTTGCGGGAGTCCAAACAAGGAGTTCGAGGCAGCCCCACGTCACGATGGGCCAACGATGTCAACGTCTGTAGGTCAGTGTCGGCGTTGGTGTGGCTCCGTGGTCCCTTTTGCCTCCCAGGCCTCAACTTTGGCCGTGCCCGCCCGCACGGAGACTTCACGTGACCCAAGCCCTTGCCTCGAAGTTGGCTGCGGGTTACGACGTTGTGGAAGGAGGCCTAATAGCCCCGGAATGCAGGGGAATCCGGCAGTGAATGCCATGCGCCTTGTCTACCACATCGCATGAAGCTGTTTTGAGGCAGGCGGCAGGCAGATATTATCTCTTTCGAAATGTAGGAGACATGCCGACATGCCGATGTGCAGATGCAGACACGAAGTTTTCAAGATGTCTATTCAGTGGGGAGGGGAGGCGCCTCCCTGTACCCCAGACGTCTGACTAAAGACTTTGCTTGGATTGAGGCTGCCATGCTGGCTTGAATTACCAACGGCAGTCCATCACCACTACAAACACTTCTGCCGCAACTGGCAAGAGCGACCTGGACTTGACAGGTTTCAGCCACAGCGAGGTCCAGGCATTGTTTCCAGCTCTTCACGATCGTGTGATATTGCAAGGAACACTTGCTTGAGCACACTCGTCAGGTACAGCTACACGAGAGCTCTGCGGCATGTCGCATTCTGCTTGGATTCTAGATGTTAGTATCGAATTTGCATACGCTTGCATCCTGTTGCCATGTAAGAGCTAAATCAGGCTGGCATGAAACCCCAGGAGGGCTTCCAGGTGTGCGACTGAGCTTGTCACCACTCGATGCTGTACAAGGTTTCATCTCTGTTCTTCAAAAGGTGATACGGGCACAACGGGCACAAATTCAGAGCCAGCCAACCAGGACCCACATGAAGACCAACACGCAAATCACCATCGACCTGGGGCACCCACGCAAGTCCAAGTCTGACTCACGGCTTGCTCAAGAGTCAAAACGAACTTGGCTGCATCCAAACGTCATCCCTCCAATGCACATCCTCTCTCTGTTCATGGCAGCTTCCATGAGCTCGATGTACTCTTCGGGAGCTTGGCCTTGTAAGATCAAGACAGTATGTTAAACAGAGTCGTTTCCGAGGCAGCGGATTACAGTCCGCTTCGCTCTTGCCTCTCCTGTGAGGAACTTCAACTTCCCCGAGTTACCCGCCAGACTCACTATGTTCTGACTGGACCGCTGTCCACACAAAGACTCGTTTCGTTTGCGCCCAGGCACCAGTTGCGGGGTCCACATCTGGCACTAGGCCGTCCGGCTTCTTGAGCAGCATTTTTTGGATTTCGAACCTGGCAGCAAGCTGGCTAATTTGGTCATGACACATCCAGCACAATGGTGGGCAGCTGCCTGTGCACCGCATGCCGAAAAATGCAAGACAAGCTAACCTGACCCGATGTCTTCACGGCGCACACCCATGTGCCGTTGAGGACCCTGCCAGCGATCACGGTCTTCCCCGTCGGCATCCTCGGTACCCTCTGGCTTCAGCGAGAGGCGGCCTGAACCAAAGGGCGCCCTCATGATCATGCCCGCAGAATGTACAGTCTGGTGACTCGTGCGGGACCACCGCCTTTGCCAGATGGCCGGCGACGAAGACCTTCTGCGGTGGCCTTGGCACTGCCCAGCCATTCGCGTGGGTGGGCGGGGCGAAGGCACCTTATCCGTATCCTTGTCGAGGAGCTGCTGACCGGCAGGACCAGGCAGACACCTCCGGGCTGCTGAACCAGCGGGCAGCATCGCGGTAGCCTGTCATTCCGAGATGAAAGACTTTGAAATGGTCCAAAATCCTGTGGAGTTGAGGATCAACTTCCTCACGACACGGGACAGAGCTACACATGAAGCGTCATTCGCGACTGACGCTGCAGAAGTCTCAAAAAGAAAGAGAAATGCTTTGCATTGCCCCGGTTTTGTCCCGAAACGGAATGCCAGGGGTGGTCGTTTGGCCTCGCCAGTACAGCCCCCGTAAAATCGGCTCCTTCGGGGGGAAGACGGCCCTGCAGCAAACACAACTTCTTAGAGTGACAACCCGTCGGATGTGCTGTGTGGGGTGTCTTTTGGGGCAAGGCGCACTATTCATGTCTGCACTTCAACGAAATTGCACTGAATCCACACAGCCAAGACACCACCAGGCAGGCAAGAATGGCGCACTGATGTCCGACGACGGGTTTGAGAGAAGAGCCGAAACGCGAACGACGTAGTCTGCTTCATTGCCTGGGAAGGAGCTTCCTTCTCAAGAAGGGCATCCGTGATGGCATCACATTGAGATGGCTTGACAAGGGATAAGATATGATAAGATAGCAAGTGACGTGCTACTGGTAAATACACCATGGAGTACATGACATATGTACATACATACATACATACATACATACATACATACATACATACATGCCAGTCAGTCAGTCAGTCAGTCAGTCAGTCAGTCAGTCAGTCAGTCAAGGTTCAGACTGTTCACACCTTCTAAGCTGGCAACGCAATGCAGTTGAGAATGACATGCAACTCCCCTAAAATGGTCTGGCCTTTCCAGGGGACAAGCATCTGCGGCCAAAACATCCCATCAAAGTAGGCGTGCCCGTCATAACGGTAAGGCCCCATGCCGCCAATGATCCTCGGTCTTGCAGAAACGGGGTACTTTTCAATTCAATATGTGGCGCAAGATCTTTTGCAACGTACCACTCTCAATGATCACGAATGGACGAGCGCACCTTCCAGTGCCACATGATTCAGGTTGATAAATGCTAACGGTAGCCTAGCATCGGGACATGGCAAGAAGAACGCAGCGCGTGGAAGACGTCTTCTTGGTTCTTGAAGCTGTTCACCACCTCTGCGCTCAAGAAGGGAAACTTGAAGGAGACCCGGGTCAGCAAGACGCGGATGCGGCCAGAAAGGCTTCCTTGGGACTTGGCTTCATTCTTGATATAGGTCCTGCAGTCCTGCTCTATAGGGCCTCCAGATGCCTCTTCCAAGCGACGATAAGCGTTGGCAGGCAGCATCTTGCGCAGCACGTCCTCCGCCGCGGGGAGCATCCGGAATGGATTGTAGGCACACTCGGGCTGCTTCCTGAGCTTCCAAGGCATCGTGCTGCAACGCACGAAAAGGTGCCGCTGAGTCTCGTGAGCACCACTTCGAAGACTTCCTTCGGCTGCAAACCACAGGACAGGACGGTGGCCACCAGCGCGCCGCCTCGGCGAAACGCAAAAAAGTGCCGACAGTCGAGTCGGCCATGTCCCTCGGCAACAGCTTCAGTGCAGACCAGGCTCCCGATGATCCGCTGAAGGCCAGGTGGTTCGGGAACTTCTCGGACTCGGCCTCCTAGTTTCAAGAGCCACAGAGCCTCCAGAGCCCTACAGATTCTCCATGTGTCCGTTCCCTCGCCTCAGGCTTCAGGTCGTCGGGCACCAGATGCTCACCTCGGCGATCTAACCGGACCGGCTCCAAAACAACGCCATGCACAGCGCACTGTGCACACCGACGAAAGCTGCTGCAGAGGCACGCAGCCAAGCTGCTACACCGAAGTGATAGCAATACCTTGGCTCTGTGACAGCAAGCCGTGCCTGGACAGCAGCTACAGTATCGCACAGACTTCGACAACATGCCCTCAGGCTCTGAAGCTTTTTCATGCCGAAACTTTGAAAGCTAATCAACTTCTAGCCAACTTCTCTTGCTCCAGGATGCAGCCAACCACTGGAGTCGAATGCAATGCTGATCTGCGGGCTGAGGCCGGTGAACATGCGAACAGAGCCACGTTTCAACCGTGCCTTCCTTTGGGCTTCAAGCTTTGTCACGGACTTTCCTCAGCTGCGGCAAGAAGGCAAGGATATGCAAGGATTTGGAGTTTAATGCAACGGGACGCCATCCGCTTGGTAGTGGAAGTCCGTGTAGAGCATAAGACCGCTTGTCATGACCAAGAAGTACAGTAACAGGACGGCTCGCGAAATCTGCATGTCCCAAAACCTGTACATGCAAAACCTTGGCGAAGCAGAGCTTATTTCAATGCAGCAAAGGCAGCACAAAATCGGACCCTTGCCCTTGCAACACTCAAGCCCGGCGCAGCGCGTGGCAAGCACAAATCGCAAACCTCGGCATTGGCCACGTGATGCCGCATGATGCCGTTGCGGCTCGGGCGGAAAATTGATTCAAGGCGAGCAGGCGATAGCAGGCGAGCAGCTGGAACATCTGAAGTTCTGTTACATGCGCCTTGCGCACCAGCGGCACTCCCCGCTGGGACAGCAGCGAGAGGCTGTAGAAGGCGTAGACGACCTTCGGCACCCCTGTCTCGCTCGTAGCTGCCAACCGAAGTTTGTAAGATTGCGAATGCTACTCTACTGAGTAGCGACATCTGCTCTCCAGTGGATACGATGTGCCCTCCCAACCCTTGCACGACTCCACGGGAACCGGCCGGCCAATCTGCCAACCAAGCAGCGGCCCGCGTGGCAGCATTCACAGCAGCTGGAAAGTAGGTGTCCTTGCAACAGGCAGCACCGGCTAAAAAGGCACTGGCACTTGGTATGATAGCCTCAACGTGCTGCTCTGCACCAATGTATGTTACTGCCTGTTGTCACGTGCGAGAAGCGTGCCATACTGTGACATTCGTCAAGGAGGCATTTCGACGCTTCCAAGTGTCACCACCGCAGGCATAGCGGCAAGCAAAGAACCAGCCCCACATGTTCAGCAGCCGCAGCCTGTAGCACAGGGCGGACTTCTTACAATCCAAAGGTCCGGCGAGAAGTCCGTGGCCCTTTCAAACTGAGCTGTGCACCACACGTGGAGGAACGTGATCTTTTGGAACTTCCTAAGGCTTTGCACGCTCTTTGCAGCACGACCGTATCGCAGCTCCCGCTTCCAATTGCAGGAGTAACTGCATGACAGCGTTTCGCTATTACTCCAGCCAGGATGCTTGCGGATGACCACGAACACCCTCAGAAGTTTCTCTGTGCTGCCGATCATCGAAACGGATGTGCAAGTCTCATGTCCGGAACCATAGCAATTCTCGTGTGCAGTGAGCAGATGATGCACAAGTCGGCTTGCGAAGAGTGGCGTATCCAACAGCTCGAGCTGGCAGCAATGGTAGTGGAACCAAATGAAATAGCCAAGCCGGTGGCTATCCTAGCAAAGAAAACTACACGACTCCGGCACTGGACCATTCTGGGGCAAGCAGGCGCAGTCTTGCTGCAACCTTACGCATCAGGCGCCTGCCTTCGTGTAGACAAACTGATTGCCCCACGGATAGCTGAACCCTTGCCTCAAATTGCAACAGCAACGCAGACCACAAAGGAGGGCAGACGTCTGGGCAGTTCATAGGACCCGCCTGGTCCGGTTAGCAAGCGGTTAGCAAATACCAAGGCACAGCCAGGCTTCTTGAAGCAATCGCAGAAACACATACCTCGAGTCCAAGGCTATATATGCTTCTATGATCACGTCATCAAGACACATGGCACACCCATGGACAACACCTGGAAGTTCTTGCGCCCAAGAAACGTGTTCAGCAGCATCTGCATCATGTTATACACAACCAAGATTTCGAAGATGGTACTCTTGATAGGTAGCCGTGCCTGGTCGGTGACATTGCAAAGCTCTTGACAGCGACGGAGCGAGACACAATAGTCTCGTCACGTCTTGAAGAACCCACGTGTTGCCGCTGTTAAAAAGGGCAGGCATGAAAGGGAACACAGCAAATAACATCAACATCATGGTGCGTTTGTTTGGCGTCTTTTCTTTCAGTAAATTCACATAGAAGGTGATCTCTCCAGAAATCATGTCGGTCACACTGTTGCATCATGAATAAAAACCCAAGTGACTGAAACAATGGCTGAATGCTCGTGAGTTTTGAATTTGTTTGCTTTGCTCGTACAGAATGCACGGAACAATCAAACGCGCGAAACAAGACAAACAACGAAAGCAAAGGGTGGATGTTTTCTCATGAATGTTGTAAGTGGAATACTCAGGTTAAGCGAAACGGCGCACTTTTTGGTTGCTTTATAAACGAAGGAACGAAGTGATGTGGTGAACGCATTTGGTTACAAACTTCGTGCTTTGTTGGCTTGCTGTTATTAATCGTGCATACGTTCCCCTGTATGATTATGAGTTAAACTAAAGTACGCAAAAACAACTCACGCCATACTTAGTTAATATATTGTTTTCATGGAATGTAAACGACGGAAGCCGTTTCTTCCAAAACGCTATGCTCATTCTGGCACAGCGCTTAGGCACTGGGACGGGAGATCCTTGAACTCTCTAAACCATGTTGATCAATTGACTTGTCATATGGGCAACTCGAACATCTAGCAAATCAACCCATTCACTTCCGAAAACCATCAATGTTTGGGCCGCCCAACTCTTCGGCAATCTACATCGAAGGGCTCAGCTGAGTCCGGTTCATAGTAAGTGTATCAGAAATTAGAGGATCTGAGATTGCGACCGGCCAGCCTAACCCTTCTGTCATCAATCACTCGGTCAAAAGCTGTGACTTGTCTTCCAGCTGCTTGTAATGCAGGTTCGAACAACTTAGCATTGGTATAGACCCGGTTTAAGAACATAGAATCGAAACGTCAGTATTTTTCGCAAGCCTCTGTGGTGAAACGCACTCAGCTTTCGTGTTAACGATTTGGTCAAATGGACTGATTCAAGTCCATACAGCAATCTGGTTATGATAACTGCGTCGCAGATTAGAAGCTGCCATTTCCGAATACCCCGGTGTCCTTCCAGTCACCTGAAGCTTGAACCAAGTACCCTTGACATCTTGCATGCGTTGAGATACTTCTGACGGAAATTAACGGTATGGTTGAGAATGATATCCGGATAGACAGGCTCTTGTGCTTTCGGCAGCAGAACATTGTCCGATCAAATGTATGCTACCGCTCTCCTTCATGTGTATAACGCCGCAATTTTATCTTTTAAGTCTCAGAACCATACTGCTCAGAGAAGAACTCAACATGCCGAATCAATTCACAACGCCCTCGCACTGGTTGAAAACAGAATAGTGAAATCTGCGTACTAAACGGTGTCGTCATCTAGACTTGGATGTGCGCACTCTTTTCGTGATTGCTCCAAGTTCGCTTCACTCCGTGGTCTATGCAATGTCATAACAAGCAGGAACAAATACGGGGCACCCTTGTCAGCCGTGTACATGTAGAAACTTTGCAGCTTCCTCATTCCGAACAAGCACGAAAATAACCAGGTTGTCATCGCTCCTGATGGCCCACTTCTCCGGCCCAATGGCGACTTTATCCCATGATTTTGCGATGTTGCTCTCCTCATGTGGAGGCAATTGAGTGCGCGCCTTTATCGAATGAAAAGTATGGGCTGTTGTGCCTGAGCTGTGCTGGTGCCTGGTTGAATGAAACATACGCGTCACGTCGTTCGTTACTGGTTCGCTTCATGCCGTCATGAGAAATTAAGGAACACACATTGTGGTCAATGATAAAAAACGTCACCACTGCACGAAATCCAGGATGGCCGGTGGCTGAGTCGAGTTTCGTTGTCTCATTTAGCTGCATACACTTCAGTGTGTTTCTGTTTTTAAACAACGAAAGGATACACAGGAACTGAATGGATGAATCCTGTTGTAAACGTCCAGCTCATTCGTTGCGTTCTTTGGTTTAAAATGAAGTAAAGCCTTTTCCCTCCACTCCTCCGCCCTCCCAACCTCCACCCCAACCCCTCCTCGACCCTTCCACCCCACCCCATGCAACCACTCTCCACCCAAAAAATGACAATAGGGGGAATGTCCGGCCTGCCCCCTCATCTGTTTTTTCAACCCATTTTCATACCGTGCCCTGTCCTCTGTTTTTCTAAGGTTTATAAAAAAAAGTTCCCTACCTCATTCATTCATCTACCTCTTTCATTTCATTAATATCCCTCGCCTTATCCATTCATCCACCTCTTTCATTTCATTCATATCCCTCGCCTCATCCATTCATCCACCTCTTTCATTTCATTCATATCCCTCGCCTTATCCATTCATCTACCTCTTTCATTTCATTAATATCCCTCGCCTCATCCATTCATCTACCTCATCCACTCCCCCACCTCATTCACTCCCCATTCCATCGCCCATTCATCCATTCTTGAATGACTTATTACCTATATCATATTTTAAAAATAGCTTAAAGTATGATACATTATTAATCCATTTCATCTAAATTATTTTTCTTAAAAACTGTTCCATCTCTGTTAAATGTTTTAATTTCAATATTATTAAGACCATCCATCATTTCTTTCATCCTCTTACGATATTCTTTATTATAATATTTTGTTAAAGTTGCTTCCACATCTAATATATATCTATGCTTAGGGTTATCAAGTAGTTTTAATTGTTCCATTGCTTGTTTTAACATATTTTCATTATACTTATCATTCATGTCATTTATTTTAATTATATTTTATGATATATCACAGTGTCCATAAGGAAGACTTTCAACATTGTTTAGATAGTATCTTTTATTATCAAAGGAAGAAAGGGCTTGTTTAACCTGTTTTATAGAATATAGTTGATGGTTTTTGCTCCTAATGCTATTAAACTCTACAGTATCACAACTATTATTTATTAATGTATCTTCATATGTCTTATAATGTAATTCTTTTTTAACTTTATGTTTCACAATCCCTTTGCTTTTCTTTTCTTCTGTCATTTCGTTGTGTATCTTGAAAACATAACTTTTTGGTTTTAAACCTATAAAGTGAGTTATTATTTTACCATCTGTTTCATCTTTAAACTTACCTAACACCTTCTTATTTGCTGTATCATAACATTTGTGGTCTTTTGGAAAACCGCTAAAGTCCATATGTTTACCTATTTCTTTGAAATCTTCATAAATATCTTCTGTTTTAGTGTGTATAACAAAACTGTCAGTATCCGTATATAATATTTGACATTATCGTTGTATTTAGGTTTTAACACATCGTAATAGAAACTATACATATGTTGTTTGCTTAAATCCAATATAGACATTCCTACATAAATCGGTTTATTTAGTTTGACTGTTTCTTTTAACTTTTCTACTCCTACTAAATTTTCGTTTATGATGTGTCTATGTTTAAATGTAGGTGCATTAACACATTTCTGAAATCGCTCTGGTGTATCAACTAATTCATAGTTTATGTGTTCTCTTACATTTTCCATAGTCTTACCATATACAGCATTGTTCATTAATTTGTATAGGTCTTTTTCAAAATCACTGTTTGCGTTTTTTTCTCTTCTCTGTGTTAAAATCTATCCACGATTTTAACCATTCTTTTTGTTTGAATGATATAGCCCTGTTTATTTTCTTTATTTTTAAACCGTGTTTCAAGTAAATTCTTAATATATTTATATGTAAAACATAGTTCTGCTTATCTTTTAAATTCAATATTAATTTGTTGGTTTTCTCATCCTTTGCTTCTTTATTGTAATGATAAGTTTTATATATCTTCTTTTGAGTATCACTTAACATATCTGCTGTGATATTCATAATCTCAGGTGCTAATGGATAGTCTTTATGTTTGTCGTGTAATTCTTTAGGATACTCTAAATCCACATCAAGAATATATCCTGTTGATAAGTCTGAATAAGTTTTAATGTCATGTTCTGTCATTTCTTTTTCAACCCACTTAATATCCTTATATGGTAGTTTCTTACACATTGCTAAACCATATAGATTATTAGCATCTTCATAATTTATGAATGATGTTTCTTTATTTGGGTCATATTTTTCTTCCATATATTTAATATTTGCTTCTGCTATTCTATGAGAAACTTGACACATACCTCCTCTTAATCCACTTTCAACCATTTTATAAATATCTTCATTATATATTAAATCTAACTTAATACCTGTTTTTAATAGCATTGCGTCCCAACTAAAATTAGGTAATGTATAATAATGTGCTGGGTCTAATTCATAATCTATTAAACATTGATTTCTAAAGTTTTCAAAGACATCCGTTAATAATAAAACATCTGTCATTAAATATAAGTCGTGATATTCTCCGAGATTTTTAATATTAAAATGTTTCCATACTTTTTTAGCCCTTTCATAGTGTTCTTCTTTTATGTCTTCTTCTGTTAATTT